AAAATGCCCTCATTAACAATTTTAAATTCCACCATAAAGACAAAATTATTTATATAATTAAAATTTGTATTGATCAATAATAACTTGACATATAATATATACTACTCATTTAAAAAAGTACAATGTCAATCGTGCATTAAATGCTGCAGTGCGAAGTCGTTGTCACACTGCCGATGTGAGGCTTTGCAACAACGGCTGCTGTGCAATGCGCTCATCAACGATGTCGTTGCGAGCTATAGCGGTGAATGATGAGCCAGCGCTGCTGTTGTGATTTTGTGAGTTTTGATGGTTCCAATTTGGGAAAATTTGGTCATGATTTGGTGCCTAAAAGTTTGGGTAGAGTTTTGTTGGTTGTGTGCAGTTGGTGCCGGTTAGCACACCAAATCCGCAGTGATATTGTGCCGATTTTGGGCGACAATGGTTTTGGGTGTGAGCGTTGTTGCTAGTAGTGGAAAATGTGGGGGGAAATCTAGACTTTTGGGTGTCGGAGTTTTTTGGGTAACTGGTGGTGGTTTGCAATGGTCGTGGTGTTTGTAGTTGTGGTGGTGATCGTGTCGTTGACTGATTATTTTGGATTTGATTTTTCAGTGGTGTTTGGCTAGTGTTGATTGTGATATTGACTGCAGTAGTGAGGTGGTGGTGTTCGGTGTGATGGCGATGGTGGCGGTGAGGATGTTCGTGAATTATTTGGTTGCTTGAATCAATAAATAGTTAATTTGTGATCAATAAATAATATATGACCAATTATTTGAGATTGAGAGTTGAGACAAATAAATTGGATAATTTGTGACTGATAACTTGTAAGTTGTAACTTATAAAATTTGTAATTTGTGATCGATAAATAAATTGTGATTTATAAATTTTATGATTTGTAACCAATGAATAAATTGTGACCTATAAAATTTTTGATTAATGATTGTGAANATTGGTAGCCAGGGCCTCGGAACTCTCAACTGAAGCTAGAGAATTATATCCTGATCGAATCAAGCCGGTCCCTCCGTCGTGACGTAACTCCACGTGTTCGTTCTGTTCTTTAACCCGTAACAACTGCAGTAGTGAGGTGGTGGTGTTCGGTGTGATGGCGATGGTGGCGGTGAGGATGTTCGTGAATTATTTGGTTGATTGAATCAATAAATTAGTTAATTTGTGATCAATAAATAATATATGACCAATTATTTGAGATTGAGAGTTGAGACCAATAAATTGGATAATTTGTGACTGATAACTTGTAAGTTGTAACTTATAAAATTTGTAATTTGTGATCGATAAATAAATTGTGATTTATAAATTTTATGAATTGTAACCAATGAATAAATTGTGACCTACAAAATTTTTGATTAATGATTGTGAANTTAATAGGTTGGACAAACTAACAATACCAGTTATGTATTTTGCTTATGATTATTATTTGATTTATCTACATAATTTCAACTTGTTTAATTTGAGATTAATGTTCGAAATAGTTTATGACAATGAAATAAGTTATGACTTATAAAATTTGTGATTTGTGATCGATAAATAAATTGTGATTTATAAATTTTATGATTTGTGATCGATGAATAAAGTGTGACCTATACAATTTTTAATTTTTTACGATGAAATAGTTTGTGACAATGAAATAAGTTGTGACTTATAAAATTTGTGATTTGTGACATATTAATTTGATAAATTTGTGACCGTAAAATAATTTGTTACTTTAAAAAATTTTAATTGTGATCGATAAATTATTTGTAACCAATTAATTCGAAAATTTGTGATCAAATTGTATAGAATTGTGACATTATATTTAATTTATAAAACATATTTTTAATTACTTATTTTAGAAAGGGTTAATTTCACAAGCAGTCACTGAAGTTACGTCAAAATCACAAAACGATCACTAAAGTTTAAAACTTGCACTAACAGTCACTGAAGTATCATCCGGTTTCAGTAATGGTCACTGAATGACCTTTTTCATTTTAATTAGAACTTAATGGACCAAAATAGTTGAAGCTTGAACCTTGATGACCTAAATCGCAAATTTGACAAATTTATATTTATTTTCTTAGCCTCCGATTGGATATAAATTTATAAATGGTATTCAATTAAAAATTTTAACTATTCATTTAAAAAAAAAAAATTTATTATCCACACATTTCATGATACCTATTATATTCCTTATTGTTTTCTTCATAAACCATTTATAAATTTTCAAAACAATGGCTTAAACTAAGATTGGAAAAATATAAAATACATTCTAATAAATTAATAATATGTTG